GCACTAATCAAAAGTGAAAAGGGGCACCTCTCGTACCTGAAAAGGGGCACTTACTAGAGATTAAAAAGGGCACTTATGAGAATTAAAAATGAACACATATTGCAAGGGAAATGGGGGCTTTTCCTATGTAAGAAGGGGCATTTTTGGGATACTCTTTCATGGGAAACGCTTGAGCTACTTAAATTCGGCTGTCTTCGCCGACATCGTCGTCCAATCTCGATGGCATCGTACTATAATACGATGGCTACACAATGGCATTGCGAGCGCTACACGTAGTTGACTTGTTGACTTCCGAAGACAATCGGACACCTTCTTGTTTCCTTCGTATTGTCTTCGTGAGGCGATAAATGCCCGATAGCACCGATGATCACACGAAGTAAAGACGAAGATAACACGATTTGAAAAGATGTTCTCACGATGGCCTTACAAAGGGCAACATAGACACACGAATTCAACACGAAAATGAACCTTCGCAAGGTCTTCGGGCAATTCTTTGGCACACCAAAGATGTTGCCATCGCTTACAATGTTGCTGCCGGAGACTGAAAAATCCACCGGTCTGGTCATACGATGTCTTAAGATGCCCTCACGAATGGCCCGATATGGCCCGATGTCTTAATGATCAGAGCTGAACTCGAACATTTCCTTCATCGTGTGTCTATCTTATGTCAACTTCGGGACAATGTGACGCGGGCATAACAAGTTATCTAGATGCATAACTATAACCAACTCACGGCTGTTGCTACTTACTACTGGAATTGTTATAATACATGAAACGGCAGCACCGGCTGATCCATTTCGCAACAATACATCGAGTAAACATAAGTACATTGACAAATGTTTACCAAACGACCTCAGTGGGGCAAGATGTAGACCTTGGTGGATATCTTCTCCCGTATGTGGACTCCAAAAGCGAGTCGAGCGAAAACTGGGGAAAAACTCAATAACCAGTGTGAAACAAAACATGCCATAGAGTGGAATCCATGAGTATACGGACATGCATACTGTAGGTAAAATGCACATGAAATAAACGATGGAATCAGACAGTGTTGTGTACAAGTTCAGTTGTTGCTAATGCGCATATTCGCCATTTGTAATGATGTTAGCAAGTGTGCTAAAAATGAACAAAAGACTATAGAAAGAGCGCCATGGTCGAAAAGGATTTTACCTCTCCAGTAGGATGAAAACTGAAAGTGATGTAAAATTCAATCGAGGTCATAAGTTATGCAAGTACATTATGATGCCTCCTTAGTTGTATACGGTGTCAGCTTAATGACGATTAATGTCGATGCTATTACTGCACGCATGCAACTGTTTTTATAAAACCAATGGACATGCACAGTGTTTAAATTCATCTTCCAACCGACGATCGAAACCAAATTTATATAGCTTAGTCACTAAACAGACAATTTAATCATTGTTCTTCATTGTATGTTCCTGGTCGCATTCACATGTTGTTTGTTCGTCTCCTAGACCCCATCTCTACATTAGTACTCTGCATCGTCCGTAGCCAGTTCTTAGTTGGTTCAGGCTTAGCCAGGAAGACCAAGTTTCGCTGGAGCCGGATGCGAGGGATTCCTTCGGGCTGAGGGAGATTTCGTGTGGAGTGGTCGGGAGGTGGTTAGACCACAAAGTCATTCTTTGGTTGTGAGGGCTGATATTAAGGGGCTCTACAGTGTGCAGAAAACTGTGTGGATTTGAGCCGCTTGCCCACTGGCTGTTGTTGGAAGAGTGGGTGGAGTGGATTGTTTTCTTGTATGTCATTTTCTTTCTGGGACCAACCTTCTGACGTGTGGTGTGACAATATCGCAGAGCAGGTAGATGTCTTCTACTTTAGTTGGCCTAAGGCAACAAGTGATCGCTCTGCAGGATGAATTAAGAGCTGGGTCGATCTTGGATGCATGGGCCGACCTACTCCATACTGGTGATGCATACTCCGCAGCAGAGAAGCAAAGCGCAAGGGCTGTCATCCAGATTGTTCTGGCATCAGTCCCCCAGTTGGTGTTGGCTAGCTCCAATCTTTGCCTTTATGTTGGCAATGTGGTTCTTGTAGGTAAGGGAGCGATCCAGTGCGATGCCTAGGTATACTGGGTTGGTTGTGTGCTTCATCCTTTCCCCATACCAGCTGATCCGTAGTTGATGGTTGGCATCCCTGTTCTTGAAGTAGAATGCATCTCGGTTTTATCAGGGTTAGCTCTCCGGTGGTTGGTCGCGTCGTATGGGATGAGTCCTGTCAGGGCATCACTGAGGGACTCCTCCAACTTCACAAATGACTGGTTCTGGGTGGCGATTATAGGTTTTCTCCATAGCGTTACATCATTCAAGACAAAATGTTAAAGACAGTTATACGGAAATAAATGTCAGGCTAAATGACAACAAAATACCTTAACAGTGTTGAACTAATTAATCAAACGACATGAATTTGTGTTTTTTGTCAATGAAAGTCTCACATATATTAAATTTCCCTCTTTGTGATACACGAAATAATCGTTTCTGTAAGATGATAACTGACAAACGTAAGTGCTTGACCTAATAATAGCACATTGTTCGACATTACAAGCAATGGACAAAATTGGAAAGAAATGAAATCTATAAATCATATTGCTTTCTTTCAATAGACGTGTTATAGCAAATTACTTAGATAGTGGCATGGTATCATCAGTTTAGATTGTACATGCTTGGCTTATTCTTTATGTAAATAAAATATACACAGATTATTTACATATTTGATAAATCACTCTTATTTACCTAAATTAATATTTTCACAATACTTGTATTTGTCGTAAACGATAATGACATGGATAACATGTCAGGTTTAATATCGCATCTAAATATACCTAACGGTTCCGGCTGCTCAGCACTTTGTGTCTTCCTTTTGTTTATTGTACGTGTTTAGTAAGTATCATATTGGCTACAAAATTTGTCCCTTGGCATTGAACAATTTGTTACATAAAAAGGGTATTTGTTAGCGAGTATTCTATTGGCTAACAAGGTGAGACGTGACACTGATGTTTAAAATAAAGTTCACGATCATGCAATAAGGAAAACCTTAATACACCCATTCATGGTTACAAGATTGCGCATGCGCCGACATGGGTGCCATTTTAAATTGGGATTAAACAATACACCAGTTAACGGTTACAACAGTGCGCATGCGGCGACATGGGCGCCATTTTAACTATGGGTAAACAAACCATTGTCATCTTAAGGAAAACCTTAATACACTCTTTCATGGTTACGAGATTGCGCATGCGCCGGCATGGGTGCCATTTTAAATTGGGATTAAACAATACACCAGTTAACGGTTACAACAGTGCGCATGCGGCGACATGGGCGCCATTTTAACTATGGGTAAAAAAAACATTGACATCTTAAGGAAAACCTTAATACACTCTTTCATGGTTACAAGATTGCGCATGCGCCGGCATGGGTGCCATTTTAAATTGGGATTAAACAATACACCAGTTAACGGTTACAACAGTGCGCATGCGCAGAAATGGGCGCCATTTTAGCTATGGGTAAATAAACCACTGACCATATGTGTCCATATGATGTAAGCGCGCAGTGCAGGCGGTGACGCAACCATATGATGTGCGTCTGAAAATATTGATGACGCAATGTTTACTCGCAAAGGGGTGTTAACTCGTGAAGGGGTGTATTACATAGGTCATAAACTAGAGAATTATCTGCGCCCCTCTCTTCCCTGCGCGTACCCTGTTGTTTATGTGTGATGAGCGCGCATGGCCTGACTCCAAATGAGCAAGGCATGAGATCGCAAATACCCTCAATTTTATAAAGCAAATAGTGCATGCATTGCGTTGTTAAGTATATATTCACTAGCAAATTCATAATGTCCCTCGAGCCATTATATCTGAACCTCGGCCTGTGGCTTCGGTGAAATATAAGATCACGCGTGAAATTGTCGATTCACATATTTGTTTGTACTGAACGCCAGTGTATGCAATATTTCCATAACATGTGCACGAGCGTGCAATGTAACCACCTTTTTTGGACTGTATACCGCGTATTAAATTAGACTGTGCACCTCTCTACCTAGACCAGAATCTGCTCGGTCCTTTATAATTCTCTACACACTTGATTCAAGCCGTCGAAGATGGCGTTATCAACAAACTCATTATTATTTTTTTCACCGGGGGTTCTAATTTAATGATCACGCCATCATCGGCTGGTAGCAAGTAAGTAGGAAGAGTAAGCGTTGGTGTGGTGGAGAGCAAAATTAAATAGGCCATATTCTGGACTACTCTCTACCCTGCGCGTACCCATTGTTTGCATTGTTACAAGAGTACCCTGAATTGTATATAACATACATTGCACGCCTTTCGTTGTTCACTGAAACATATTTTCACCTCCGAATTCAAAATAACCCCGTAGGACAATACCCCCCTCCTGCCCCAAGGACAATCAAGGACGATCACCCCCGAGGACAATTACCCTCCGGGAATAAATCCCTACGACAATTAACCTCCGTGGACAAAACACCTCGAGGATAATAACCCCCCGCAAAAAATCTGCCTTTTACGGAATCCGTATTGCGACGTACTTTTGTTCAAATGCCATTTACTCAATATTTTCAGTGTGAATACATGTATCTACCGTGCATTGTATCATTCGAAAGGGCATTTTATTGCAGTCATTTTGACACCTTTGTAAAATGCATGTAATGTACTTCAATCATGTATCACATTGTTTTGTAAGGCATAGTAAATTCATCATTATCTGCAATAAATTCGCGATATATAACGTCATGCATAATGCACTGATGATATAAATGATTTTGCTATTGTGACATTGGCCAAATGCTATCCCGATGCGGTATATATGGCTTTCCTAATCACGTGTAGCCCATCCGACCTCATTTCAAGTTCGTCTGATTGATGGATTAATGACGCTGAAGGAAGAGTAGAGGTCTTGTACAATGGATCCTGGAGAACTATCTGTGATACTTGGTGGGATCTGAAAGACGCAAGGGTGGTTTGCAGAATGCTGGGGTTTGACGGAGCTTTAGACGCAATTGGATCTGCTAGGTTTGGTCAGGGATCTGGTCGTATTTTCCTCGATAGGATCAACTGTGATGGAAATGAAGACAGCCTTGGAGACTGCGCTCATGGAAGGATTGAACATTTTTCATGCAGTCATACAAGTGATGCAGGGTCAATTTGCTACTCAGGAAGTATGTTTTGAAAAATGTTTGCAGTGGGTTGGGAGGGGATGGAAAAGGGTTACAAATATTCTGTTTCATAACCACCTTTTCATTTCCTACTTGTATTATCAATTTCCTCGACGTAAGCGAATCGAGCTAATTAATAAAAAGGGACTTACAGCACTATTGCCTCATATATTAGTTGATTGGGACTGTATTTTTAACTAAGCTTAGTTGGAGCCTGCATTTAAATTTGGTTAATAAATATTTTCTTCTTTTGATTCAATTTTAGGCTTCTTGCTTGGTATGTCAAGAGAGTGAATGTGAGGGCTCATGCAACGTTGCACATCAACCAGTGGCGTATCTAGGGAATACGGCACTCGTGGAAAACTAGGAACTGCCCCCCCCCCCCACACACACACACACACACCGACCTCCCATACCCAGACTACATTTTGTCTACATAATATTACTAGCGATGGGGCAAAGCACCTCATAAAAGCAATTTTAATACATTTCAACCAGGAATTACAAAGGCATCCTAAAGTTCAGATTTCTTTTAAATGTTATACATGTAATATTTTGTTTTCGAGGCGCATTATTTAACATGATGCCTGATGCTTAAGTTATCTTGCGTATTTTAAGGTGCACATGATGCACATTTTTTTCGAGCCCTCTAGCTGGCATTTTTGCTCTTTCACTTCAAGTGCCGCCTTGAGAAATTGGGGAACGTAGGAATTAGGGTAACATTTTCTTTCTGTTTAAGTCTGCACCATTTAAAGAGCTATTATAGCATACATCATATACAGCTGTATGCAGGTGTAAAAATGCGATATCCTGAAGTTATGTTTAATATGCGAGGTGGTAAAGCGAATTAGCTTTTTGTATTTTTGTATTATTTCATTTCCTAAAACAAAAATTATAATGCAACCTACCCTGCGTATGATGTTGCCTTTTTTCTCGTCCTCTATTTTGCGTTTTTTGTGTCATCTTCAAGTGCCGCCCGGGTGAATTTCAGCTCCAGAGGAGCATTATCGCGGGAGGGGCATGTGTTCACTTCGATTGAATGCTTTTTGTCAGAGATGACAATACACATCAATTATACTTTTAACATTTAACTTGAGAATAAAATAAACTTAATAATGCCTTAGAACTGCTAGAAAATATCAACGCTTTGAATATTCAAGGCCAAGGCCAAGACAAGGAGAAAACAATGGGCTTAATGCGCATTCAGGCCAATGCACTACCATTCTGATTTATATAGGCATGGCTATGATTTGATGTGGTTTATTCACTTACAAAAAAGATCTTCGCAGTTATAAAAATAACAACTGTATTGTGCTTATTTTCTTATAAATGAGATCGAATTGTAAATAATATCAATTTTCGCAGTGTATTAATTTCCACGATAGTAGCTAAAGCTCTGTGTCCATATAATTCCCTCACACTAGTATTAACGAAATGTTTTGTTTTTATTTGTTAATATTTTTAGCCCATCCGAATCCATTTCAAGTTCGCCTGGTTGGTGGACCTAACGATGCTGCAGGGAGATTAGAGGTCAGGCACGATGTATCCTGGGGTACTGTCTGTGACGATTATTGGGATCTGAGAGACGCGAGGGTTGTTTGCAGAATGCTGGGGTTTGATGGAGCCTTGGACGCACCAAGATTTGCTAGGTTTGGTCAGGGCTCAGGGTATATTCTTCTGGATGATGTTTCGTGTTCGGGTACAGAAGAAAACCTAGCAGAATGTCCATATAGAGGGATTGGAGTTCATGACTGTGGACACAGCGAAGATGCAGGCGCCATTTGTTACTTAGGAAGTAAGTGATCTCTCCGTCTTAAGCGAGTGTGGACAGAAACTGTTGAATTGAAATTAAAAATATCGGGATTTTATCTGCAGTCAAATGACCTTTGATATTTGTCAAGCAAATTCCTTTTGTCGAGAAGTCAAATTGTCGGGTGAAATATCATAGTTGTTCTAATATATATGCATTAAATAATTATTTTATATAGGCCTGTAAGTTTTTAAGGTTAATATTGTATAAAGGAAAACATATTCGGCTTAACAAGAACTGATTTCTCTGTACTCAAGATCGATTTCTTTTGGAAGTACCGATTTCATAAATCTCGCTATCGCCAATAATTCTAAAATGCCCAAATGTAGCCTCTTGGACGTAATTTCGAGCCACTTCATGGACTTACATACTTTCGGTGTACGATGGTGAATGGGTGGTACACGTATGATGCATCCGCATTGTACGCAAGTACGTATCCGAAAGTTATTTCCTGGTTTCCTCAGTTTTTGTGACAGCAGCAACCAAAACCAAGAGAAAGATAATCCAGATCATATCGACTTGCAGATTGAATTAAACAATGTAAGGCCCATCTCGTAATTTCGAGAAAATGACAGGCTTAACCTTAGAATACCTCACCCAAATGTATGTATTATAAACACCCTTTATTGTAGTTCCTTTGTTAGTATTCTAGACGGGTTTTTGTACTGAACACAACCAAAAATAGTTTACGTTATCATTTATATGCCTCTACTTGCTCTTGCCCATCACACATCCATATATTTCATTTGTTGTATGTTTAACAGTATTTTTATGCGCTGTTCGAAATGATGTACTCTTGAAATCGCTTGAAAATCGTGATAATTATTACATTTAGAAAATAGAATACACACACACATCCCAGCGATTTTGTAATGGGGCATGAACATAACGTACGGTGTTTAAAAAAAATTATATATATATCTTGATTGTAAGCCCACACTTTGTTTTCTTCTGTGGTTACTGCACATTCTGCGAAATAATATTTTACGCCACAAACATTTCTCTTTACTTTTGTTCAGCCTTAAAACATTAATTGTGTTGATAATATAACTTGGGCTCCTTATACAATTTGAATTTGAATTTATTGATTCATCTGTCATACAACAGATATTCTTTTTCAATTGGTTGAACAATAAACAGCAGAATTATACATAACAGAGAAATGTAAAGAGGTATACAATGAAAAACATACATTATATGATCACAAAACAGAAGAAAATACAAAATAAGTTTTCAGGAAACCAATGTGTGTCTTAAAATATTACAGGCAAAAGGGAAATTCCACTTATTATTAACGCATTTAGTCGCCCTGTCATTTGTGGAAAAATAATATTTTTGATTCAGATCACATCCCCTCAACAACATCGTCATACTGTAGAACTGTTGAATAGGTGTATAACACAGGGCACACAGGACAAACCAGAATCTCGCCTGCGTGTGCGTGGTACACATAAACCTAAGCCAAATCTGTTAAAAGTAAATCACTAATTCAAAGGGTGCGTCAGATCGTTCCTGACGACAAGGGTCCTTTTATTATCCGCTCCGTACATGAAGATTTTATTGGTGGGAGGAGCGGAGTCTCACCAATTACAAGTTGCGCATTTTTTCTTGATCATTCGAGCTTCCTTTTATCACCCTGTGACAGATTACCGCCCCCCCCCCTCCCACTCCGGGGTCGGAATGACCGCATGCATATTACCAAAATGTCCGGTAAAGGGGTACTGTTCACGCACCAAAGTCCGGCTCGTACATACACAAAATTGACTTTACACACCGGACTTAGGGGGTGTTTTCAAGAGGAGGGAACACGCATATGCGTATCCTGAATAACATTGATTCGGGGGGGGGGGGGCGGGATTAGCGTACACACAAACACTTCGGATAACAGATTTGTAGAATAGGGTCAACATTATCCATATGGGAATTTTTCATTTTCCTGATAAAGAACATCCTCTGATAAGCCTTTGAACACAATAAATCAGTAATTTTGTTCCATTTTAGTTGGTCATCAATGATGGCGCTTGAGTTGTATTTAGACTGAAGTCAAAAAGCATTTCCTTCGTTTTTATTGCATTTAACCTCAAATTGTGATCATCACATCATTCAACAAAACGATTTACCTCAGAAATTAACTCAATTGCTTCATCAGTTATTAAAGTAACCTGATATCATAGTATCATCAGCATATTTCAGTTTGTCGAGCAAAAAATCAATGACAACAGAGGAATAGCTTGTTTAATTTTCAGTTGCCGAAAAGTTTGTATTAGCCGTTAATATTGTTTAACTCAATGAAGCAAATATCAAGCAATTGTTGTCTTGTAGCCCATCCGAATCAATTTCAAGTTCGTCTTGCCAATGGATTAAATGATGCTGAAGGCAGAGTAGAGGTACTTTACGATGGATCATGGGGAGCTATCTGTGATTCATGGTGGGATCTGAGAGACGCGAGGGTGGTGTGCAGAATGCTGGGGTTTGATGGAGCCTTGGACGCACCGAGATCTGCACGGTTTGGTCAGGGCTCTGGCCGTATTCTACTGAAGTATGTCAATTGTGACGGAAATGAAGACAATCTAGTTGATTGTGCTCATGCAGAGATAGGACGTTACTCATGCAGTCATACAAGGGAAGCAGGAGCCATTTGCTACTCAGGAAGTATGTTTCCTCTACATTTTAACCCCCATCTACCCGACAATTAATTTTCTGAATGATTATTAGATGAGCACCAACGTCGGACCAGTTATTTATTAGTGACTTTAAGAATCTCCCTTTATATCTTAAATAATGAATTTCGAGGTAAAACCAATAGATTTTTGGTATCAAGAAGCCATCTCTTTCACAAAAATTAACATACTAGACAATTTGCTTGTACTTGGTCGTTTGTTTATGCGGGGTATTGTGGTAAAGGAATGTACATGATAATGTTCAAATAAGGTTGTCCCTAAAAAGTATTTTCATTTCGTCTTACCGATGATTTTGCAAGGGAAGCAACGGCATAATAACTTCCCTTATTCTACACATGGATATATGAAGCTGAAAATGCTTTTAGGATATCTAAACGTAATCAATGGGAAATCATTTGTAAGTGCTCTCATACTTTTGTTTATTGAACGTGAAATTTTGGTGATATCTTCTCAAACAATTATTTATCATGCTCTTCTCTAAAAGCATATCCAGAACCATTTCAAGTTCGTTTTGTCGGTGGGTCTAATTTTGTTTTAATGGTTAAGGGATATTGCTCTTCTACAGATATATCTGAACATGTGCATTGCTCGATTCATTGTACTCCATTTTTTTTTAAAGAGGGGTACATGATTACATTTCCTTGTAAGCGTATGTATATTTTATCTGATAAACCTATTCTGTTTTCATCCCAATCATTAATTAAACACAACAGATCCATTTCATGTTCGTCTTACCAATGGAACCACCGCTTCAGAAGGCAGGGTGAAAGTCTTGTATATGGGAAGCTGGGGAACTATTTGTGATGATAACTGGGATCTAAGAGACGCAAGAGTAGTTTGTAAAATGCTTGGATTTGACGGAGCTTTAGCCGCACCTGGTAGTGCTAGGTTTGGTGCGGGCAGTGGGAAAATCTTGTTGGATGACGTTGGATGCAAGGGCACAGAAGACACCCTTGCTGAGTGCTACCATCAAGGGCTTGGAGTCAACAGCTGTGAACATGACAATGATGCTGGTGTCATTTGTTTTACAGGAGGTAGGGTACTAGGATTATATATATTCCTTCTCGAAAGCTTTGAAAATGTAATATTCGTACAACGGTTGTTAAGATTGTCAATCTCATGGTCTTACTCGTGTTGGTCTTGCTGTTTTCACGTGACCAATGGGGTGTTCTAATTGTTTACTTCCATTTGTCCTACTTCCTAATGCAAGGAACAAGGATAAGTCTTGTTCGACGTGGGACCATGTGGGACCCCTTGGCAAAAGGTTTACTTACATATAAATTAGGTGATTGAACGTTATTAAAGATGTACCGTTTTTTCTGTACACCCTTTAGTACCATACAATGATTTTATGATTCAATCCTTCAATTAATTCAAATGATTGTGAATAGTCGACACCACTCTACCTCACAAAAGTTTTGTTTTCTTCATTCGATTCTAAAAGGAGATGCTCTTCCATGTTCAAATAGAGGCTTTCTTAAAACTGTCGTGTCAGAAGATGCTCTAAATAATTAATAAAGGAATTTTGTATATATTCCTTCCTCATCGATATTTCTGATTTTTATGAAAATAGACACTCACATTACTTAAATCTAAAGATGAAACTTGTTTACTAGTGTGTATAGTAACCACAGAGGGCTTCCAACGCTATCACAAACAACATATTATGATGAGCTTTAAGTATTCATTATTTACTAGCTGCTATTGACTCCTTTACAGAGAGAAGTTCAAAATCAACCGATTGCATATATGCTATTGTTTTTTTTTGTTATTTCTCAAACCCCCACAGAACCATTTTTAGTTCAGCTCGTTAATGGATCTAACGACCTTGAAGGACGAGTGGAGGTGATGTATGATGGTTCTTGGGGAACCGTTTGTGATCATGAGTGGGATCTGAGAGATGCGAGGGTCGTATGTAAAATGCTGGGGTTTGATGGAGCCTTAGCTGCCCCAGGTTCTGCTACATTTGGCCAAGGTTCAGGAGATATACTACTTGATGATATATCCTGTGAAAGTACACACGATAGCCTGGCAGACTGTTACCATCGAGGGATTGGCGTCTCCGATTGCGAACACGAAGAGGATTCTGGAGCCATTTGTTTCAGAGGAGGTTGGTCTTACATATTCATATTTAAAAATGAGGATTTTTAGAGAACGTGAGAAAAATATATCCCTAATTTATCTGTTTGTAGTCCCATAGATTAACCCCTCCGCCCACGCACTTTTAACAAGATCACAAAGACTGTAAAACAGAATCCTTAAAGAATGATGTAATTACGTACTTTACACGGGGTATACAGTAAGGTATTGACACTGGTATGGGGTTGATTTTCGGGAAGCTTTATTAATCACGTTTTGTCCACTTTCCACAATCAAATTGTGCACTCCTAATACTTATAAGTGCTATTTTATTTCATATTTGTTAAAACTTCACAGACGTATTCAAGGTTCGTCTCATCGGTGGAGCCAATAATTCAGAGGGTAGATTAGAGATTATGTACGAAGGGTCTTGGGGAACTGTCTGTGACAATGGTTGGAATCTGAACGATGCAACAGTTGTTTGCAGAATGTTGGGGTTTGATGGAGCTTTGGCAGCAACACTTTCTGCACAGTTTGGTCAGGGCCATGGCAAAATCCTGCTTGATGATGTCCAGTGTCAAGGAACAGAAAACAACATAGCAGATTGTTATCACAGAGGAATAACGGTCCATAACTGTAACCACGCCAGTGATTCGGGTGTCATTTGTTTCTCAGGAGGTACGATCCATTCATACAGTACATAATGCATTTTCATGTTAACATGTTTTAGCTTTCTCGGCCAAAGTTGCAATAGAACGTTATACATCTTCCTGATCTATTCCGTTTAAAACTTGCGACATCAAATTACTAAATAGTGCAGTCTGTAGTAGTTAAAGAAAATACATGTATATCTGTTTCTATTAGTTTGAATGACATTCTAGCTGTCGAAATATATGAATTAAGGCTGGGTAACAATTGGATTGAATTTGAACATGTCTTGCAAGATTTATTACTAGGAAAAAAACATTTCAATTTGCTAAAAATACACCACATTACTTTTCTAGTACGTCTGATTGGAGGAGCTAATGTCGCTGAAGGCAGAGTAGAGATTCTACACGATGGCTCATGGGGAACTGTCTGCGACGATTCCTGGGATCTCAAGGACGCAGAGGTTGTGTGCAGAATGTTAGGCTTTGATGGAGCTTTGGACGCTCCACTTGGTGCTCGATTCGGTAAAGGATCTGGGAGCATCTTTCTCGATGAAGTTCAGTGCCAGGGGACAGAAATTGACGTTGAACGTTGCGATCATGACGGCATTGGTGTACACAACTGCGCTCACAACGAAGATGCCAGCGTAATTTGCATCCCGAATGGTGAACATTTCAATAATATAACAGTTCTGCTTCTCCTTGATGTTAGGTTTATTAATTTTACAATATGATTTCAATTGTTTTCGAAGTAAAATGTTCGAAAAAATGGCAGCACCGTTCATCTCTCCTCAATTGTCTCGATAAATTATCCCGAACACATGATTTGTTTTACCGGGTTTTATTCATGCCTCTTAATGTAGTCTCCGGAGTTATTAGATTATCTATTAGAAACTCTTAAAGATGTTTTTGAAATAAAGCCCAATCACATAATAATTTCATGAAACGAAGTTTCCAGGCTATATCGAAACACTGTATATTGTGTCTAGGTATCATTTATCTAAACTTTATTAATGGTTTTATATAAAGCTCTTTAAATTCACAAAAATATCACCGAAAGATGTTTCACAATATTACAACATTTTAAATATGATTTCTTATCAGGCGGAACACCATTCCATAGCATCATCCTTACAGATCTGACGTTGACCATGATTGGGCTTTGTGTATTTCTTTCTACGCTAGCATATTGTGTATGTAGGTATATAAAAACAAAGGCTGGTAGGAATTTGGACAGTGATATTTATATGGATACAGGGTTTACACCGGATACAAGTGTATCCTCTACTTATCAGGATCTGAATGCTCCTCCAAAACTCCCAGAACGACGTTTAACGAGATTGAGTAAAAATAAGCTACTTGAGGACGAAGGGGAGCTATCTGTTCCAAAGAACCCACAATGTGAAAGCACCCACGACGATATTGAAACGATATTTACAAGCAAGACTGCCTTATTAGCCAAGGATGGAAGCACTGATGCTATGAGCCTTAGTGTTGAGAATAAAGACACAAATACGTTGCCACATGACATAGCGTCATCATCAAGAGCAATCTCCCATGATGAAACGTGTGAGCCGGCAGGTAATGTGCCTACTATTGGACAAAATAACTCACACGAGTATATGGATATGAACACTGTATACAAAAAACTTACGAAGGAAATAGATGTAGATGTTGACGGATATCTTCTTCCAAGTAAAACGAGTGAAAAAGCGGAACCCCCCAGTAGCGTTGAAAAGACATGCGCAGCTACACTAACTCGAGATATAACCAGAATATCCACAGCAACCTCCTTCCACTGTGAAAATGAAGAGCCGCTGGGTAATGCACAAAATGCTGAACGAATTGATACCCATGGATATACAAATATGACCAGTGTGGACGAAAAGCTTTTGAATGAAAAAGATGTAGCCTAATTTAAATTCCGAAGTTAAACCGGATGATAAAAATGCAGAATCGAGTTCTTTGTCTCGAAACGATAGAAAAATATTTCACACGAGCGTTTGTGAAAGAAGTAGCTCAAATGAACAGACTCCTACACTACTACAGGAATGTACGAAACAAGATTCAATTCACAAGCACATTGACTTAAAAAACCATTAGCCAACGATACTAAACGCTTGAATATGTAGACATAGATGGCTATTATCTGCAAAGAGCTGAAGGACATATCCAAGACGACAAGGTTTAGAGGGATCATCAGAAAACAGCAATTATGATTTTATGTATTAGTAAGAGATTCAATAGATGATTTGGCCGTCATATTGCAGAGTTGAAAGCAAAATAATGTAACAAAAAGATTGTGCTCTCTCTTCTTGTGAAATTCATTTTGGGTAAAATAAGCATTTTGGAGAATATGATTCAGTTAGCATGTTTGATTTGTTAAAGATATCTTTAAAAGGAAACTTTCTTTAGGGCTTAAATTTTGAATCCTTCTTTAAGATTTGTTTTAATGAATCAAAAGAATGAAAGAAAGATGAAGTCATGCATGCGCGCACAGCCATAAGTAAATCTTGGACTTAAAATTACATCCATTAGACTTGAATTTTAGAGTTTTTTCAGAGAATTAGATTTTAAGTCTTATGATAATCTTTTTAATAATCCAAAGTCTTTTGTTCCCGGTTTAGCACGTTATAGTCAGTTAATAAACAAACAAAAATTAATAACTAGGATTGTTCTTTCCCGATGGTTTTAAAAGTTGTATTTGCTTTTAAGGTAATTATTAATTCAATATGGTAACTTACGATTTCAAAGTAAAATGTTTTCCTCTTTGATAAAACATTTGTTTTGTTTCATGAAACTAAACGCTATTAGCTCTCTATTTCTAGTCTAGTGTCTGTTACTAAAAAAAATTCTATCTAGGCAGATGAATAAGCTAAATGCCCAAAGATCTATTTGGTTTCATTTGTATAATCCCCCAAAATACCCCTCAGATTTCCCCTTCAATTCAGTGGTATCACGACTGTCATAAAACATAAGGTTTTGTTTTGTTGAAATGCCTCTTTATTTCCTGTTCTTACTTAAGTTACATTTTAAGTATTTTTAGTGACGGAATCCGTTCGAGAAGGTAGTTCAAAATAATTTGAAGTATATCGTGTTTTTTTACCTTGTTCATGTTACTTGAATTTAATTTTTAAAAAGCGTTCAAAGTGTTTCTTAAATGCTTAATGTTGTTACCTATTTCCAATGAAGGCTATTTGAGGCATAAATAAATAATATAAAAACATCCACTGCTTTTACTTTTATTTAATAAATGTAGAACTTTGAAAATGGACAGATAATTGTTGGGATATCCCTAGAAAGGGTCGGACGAAACGACTGTCTGACTGTATGTCAGGAAAGAGGGCACATGCAGAGAGCAAGTGGTGAGAGAGGGAGAGATAGAGAGAGAGAGAGAGAGAGTGAAAGAGAGAGAGAGAGGGTGAGTGAATGAAAGAGAGAGAGAGAGAGAGAGCGGCGCATTCAGATCGATCAAAGATGTAAAGACAGAGAAAGGAAAGAAGTGGGTAGGAAAGAAAAGTGAGAGGGGCAGTCAACAACAACTATAAACAGTGAGAGGGGGAGGGGTAAAGATTAAGTGCACTGGTTAGGAGAAGGGGAGGGGGTGGTGAGCTGGCACGTAGCCACGGGGGGCACGTGCCCCCAACAAAATTCCAAGATCGGTTGAACTTTTTTAGACCCTTTTTTTTTTACCTCGATCGATTACATGTATGTGCCCCCCCCCCCAAAAAAAAAACATCAGACTCTGGCTACGTGCCTGGTGATGAGAGCCAGAGAAGGAGAGCAAGAATAATTGCTGTTAAACCAATGCATTAATGTCATGATGAACGTTTAAGAGCTCATATACACGAATTTCTTCGGCGTCGGTAAGTAGTATTAACATACTATGTAATGACACCTGACAATAATATTTCTTTTGTAATTACTTACGGCAAAGATTTGCAACGGTCTATCAAAATATATTATTAGGTAATCTAGTAAATACTCACATCTGCTATTGGAGAACATTCCTATATCGTATAAATAACATCACTGGCTGTTTACATATCCATTTTGCTTTTTGTCACATCATACTATGCCCTTTTTTAATCTGTAGAGAGGGCCTCTGGATCCGTCAGTGGAGTATGCCACAGTCGATAAACAACGCAACATTTCTTTAAATCTTTGTTCATCATCTGCTCAGGTATTAATAGGCAATATCTTTTCTTTTGACATATCCTATACGTTAGAAACTCTCTATTAACAGGATACACCCACAATGGCCACACTTGAACGAACACCTTTAAACACACTTTTTTTTTAAAGAGCCAGTTTTGTCCTTGATTGGAGATCATTCATATAATGTATGAAATACATCACTAGTGATTTACACACACATAATACCCCCTTACACACATACATACATGCAAATAATATATATAGATATATTATATATTATATAGGTATATACACATATATTTATATTTACTTATATCAATACTTATCCATTCACTCACTCTTTCTGCAATCTATCTTTTTCTATCTCTATCAGAGAGAGGGAAATATGAACATATGATCCTGTTTATCACTGCTTTAAATGAGGAAAAAAAACAGCAACAAAAATAAACAGACAAACTACTTATTGCAAAAAGAGATCACATGGAATCTGAATAGTATTATCATTTAGTTCTAACACCCATTCAATAACACACTCATCTTCTTCTTATTGCAGCTTGGTCACCTTGATCTGTCTATGGACTATGCCACAGTCAATGAGCAAGTTACAGACGTCACTGCTGAACAGAATATGGTATTGAATGGTTGAAGCAACGGATACAAAACCATTATAAGAATACGAATACGACACGTTTATTTCTATCAACATTTAATAAGACCCACATTTAAGAAAAAATATCACAATGTATCCTACAGTGGATACACGTACTGAGTGACGACCATTGAAACTGACTATGTACCTCCTGTTACCCTGCTCGAATACGAAATACATCCTGTATGTGCCGCTGGGGTCATCGAGTTGCTTTTTTTGGTTAGATTATGGCAATTATCTTTATCAATATTGTGATACTAGTGTAGGCATTTACGAGAAAATCACGGCCTATATTAAGTTCGTACTTTATTTCCAAAAGTATGAAGGACTTTCAAATTCATACTCGGCCATATCATTAACAATTATACCGGGCTATTTAGATGCAATTTATAAACTCCCAACACTATACGGTATCTTTGACCAAAAAAAAGGAGAAAAACATATTGCTTTTTATTGTGTACTTTTATAAACCAGCAGATGATGGGGCGTCACATACCATATTTTATTCATCCTGTAGACAGGGCCTCTGGATCCGTCAGTGGAGTATGTCGCAGTCAATAAACAACGCAACATTTCTTCAAATCTTTGTTCATCATCTGCTCAGGTATAAATTGGCAATATATTTCCTTTTGATAGAGCCTATACCATAGAAACTCTATATTTACAGGATACACTCACAATGCCCACACTTGCCCAAACAAATTCAAACAAACTTGTCAAAAGTCAGTTTCTTCGTTGTCCTTTAGCTTGAAATTTATTTTATTGAGCATTTGTTCATGTTTTGATTGAGAAATATGGAAATATAATTATTTTAATTGAATTGATCTACATTCCTTTGATGTCATTACCAAAATAAGACTTCTTCACAAGACTTAGTGTAAGAGGTTTTATTTTGAAGAAACACAATATTTCCTGTATGTACGTCGTCCACGCTCTTTATTAAAATCTACACTTTTATTTACCGAAATAGAAATATGCACAAAGAAACATTATTGATTTTAGGGAGTGAAACTATATGGGAGGCCGAGAAGCGACTGCTTTACTACAGATATTGACTGGAAAGGTATGTAATATAACATTCTTTGGACCGCCGAAGGGAGTTATATTTTACCAAGGGGTTCTAAGATCAATGATGCAGGTACCATGTCTATGAATACCAGTATTTATTATCTTAACCCTTTTATGTCATATCGAAACAGAAAGGAGATGTTGTACAACCAGAACAGTCACTAAGAAAGGAGATAGGGAGAAGAGGAAATGTACCACACGTGTACACTGCATCAGCAAAGGGACTGGTAACTATAGTATTTATAATCTCCTATGATGACTTAGAGTATAACAAGACCAGAAAATCAAGGAACTAAAATCCAATTAATCAAATAAGTTGTTAACACAAATCTATGTTTTAATGTAATAACAGTAAGTTATGTAATATCTTATATTCATCTGATATGTGTAAAAAATATTATGACAGAAACAAGAAATTACAACAAATCCCAGCATCACATGTTTCTAGTGTGATATTAATTGTAATTTGGAAAGACGCCTTTTAGAACGCAAAGGAAGTTTGTTTCAAACTGTGAATTGCGTAATTTGAAGTTATATTTTATATAACGAGATTTTCCCTGCGTAAGATGTTAAATTGTTTTAAAGAGAAAATAATCCTGTATCATGTGAATATAATAGATTTTCTATTAAGAAGTTTTGTAATAGTTTGTCTGTGTTTCTGCAGTTGCCATGATGTTCAGATGTTGTTGAAATGTCTAGTTTAGTTAGTTTTGTTAAGTGCCAGGGGCATTCACGTGTGTTTGATACGTAATGAAAGTCTTCAGATACTCGAGATATAGTTTTATTTAGTTTTAATTATTCACATATTCTTTTACGAAACTGATCACGTTTCATATTTTCTTTGTTAATCTAATACTGAAGGCCGAGTATGCAGTTGTAGACACAACTAAAGAAGAGAGAAAGAAAGGTCAACCAAGAGCTCACCAAAGGAATATGGTAAGCTCTAGTCTAGAAAATCAGGGTTTTTTTTGTCTACGTTAGATGGCAGTCCGAAACGTTTTCCTTCTTTTAACATGACTGTACTTATGTACGACATTGAATTTATTTTTATTTTAGTACGAGCGGTCATCTTGAATAAAATCTTGATTTAAGGATACCACTCGACATAATGCCATTGCATGAAAGAGAAACATATATAGATGAAAAGTATTTGTTTCTAAAAATAACTCACTCGCAGGCAACTTGAACACTTTACTTCGGGTTTTTTTCCCTCTCTGCACGGTAGGTCGTTTGGCACAAAAGCAATTTTGCACAAAATAATAGGCACTACTCCCATGACAGCAGGTTCGGCGTTGATAACACAATGATTTTGCAAATTACCAATTTTCGCTCTTGATAACCTCCATGACAACCTTTTTAACGCCGGTATAGAACAATCTTTTACTCTAAACGGTGAAAAAATTGAAAGATAAATACGAAGTGGTAAAGGAATATTTTATAAAGTATAACAGCATATCTGCAATTTTTTGGCCATGAGGGATCAGACCTCCCTGCATGGTCACTGACAGGTGGTTATCTCATCAAATTGACTCTCAATTAAGATAAGAAAAAGGGGACCACGGGGAACCATGAGGGACCAACGGTCACCACGTAGGCATTGTTTGCTATATAGAGGGCGCAAGTACCTATAAGTTGTGCAGTGGGGCTTTAACGGAGTTTCTTTCAGGTCAATCTCAATTTCGAGGATGGCTTTGGTCCTCCCCGTCAAAACGCCCCCCCCCCCCCGATGGTGTCTGAGCACCTAAATCCTTACTCGATGACAGGATACGAATAGGTGTCACCTTTAATAAACTGGATACTGGCTACTCTGTATCAAACTAAACATATTTGACACCTGAGCCTTTAAACGCACTTTGAAATTGAAAGATAAAGGAGTGAATATAAATTCGTAATGCAGCAATTGATTTAGTTGTAATTGTATATTTCTATTGTATTGTTTACAGGCTGACAATGACCCGGAAGAAGATTATGCTGTAATTGACAAGAGGAAAAAGAGCCGACGAGAGAAGTGATATGAGGAAAAGGAAAAAATAACAGAAATTTATTTCCATTTATTGTTGATAATAACATCTAAATTTCTGATCATATGTGTATATTTAAAATTAACTTCTAAAGATTTCTTTAAGAGAAAATTATTTTTTGTTTTGTTTATTGTTTACATGTAAAACGACATACCAGTTCAACCAGTTGGCCTACAAGTAGGCTCAGGCGCGGGTCCACGGGGGTGGGGGGGGGGACGGGCCCGGCCCCCTGGCCTTTTTATACAGTGCTCACTACCCCCCCCCCCCTCCACCCCCATGAGCGCACTATTTGTCGGCGCGATTTTCAAATTTTAGGCCCCCCTATCGGCAAATCCTGGATCCGTCACTGAGTAGGCTTATACATTTTCCCTTTCATATTTCACGTTTACGACTAAAATTGAAAGGGTGGAATAAAATCGTTCCTTTTACATATCGCTTTAGATTAAAAAATAAATAATTCAACACAAATTTTAATCTCTCTACATTAAGAGAAGAAAGACGGATGAAAAATAAATATTAATGCACATATTAAACATCTAAATCTGATCACTGCACTTACAGGTCACCAATGCGAAAATCGTATATTCTATATTTTAGTCATATTGTTGCTCTGGAATGTCATAAATTGAATAATACTATGCAGGGGATCACGTGATTTGATTAAGAGTCGAATGCGTGACGAAATAATATGTGACAGGAACCATCGAGTATCGCTGTAACAAAAAAATGAAATATGACTATCGGAGAAGATCTTGGTTATAAAGAGTGAAATTGAACAAGCAGGCGATGATAATAACAATTGATTTTATTGAACCCTCCTTCATACTAACCTGACTAGCTGGGTGGTGTAATCAATGTGTGGTATACATTTCAATCATAATCAACAGTGGTGCTATATCAATCCAATACTTTAAGCACTAAAATAGTGTAAATAAACATAATCTATTCAAAAATATTGTACAAAACATGTTTCAAAGTAGCATATATGATTAGAAATAATGATACGTATTTAGATCAAATTATACGAATATGTGCATTGATATCGAAATGTTTCGGTAATGAGTATATAATCTTGAATTTTTTTCTCTTTTAAGACCATTTTGTGACTTCTGAGAGAGAGAGAGAGAAATAAAGATACAGGGAGAGAGAGAGAGAGCAAAAAGAGAGCAATGAAGAGAATGAGAGATATATAAAGAGAAAGAGAGACATAAAGAGAGAGAGAGAGAGAGAGAGAGAGAAAGGGTGATTGGAAAGAATGCTAAACATGCACAAATTGTTTTAAGTTTTCGTGTTATATCATGCAGCTTTTCGATGTCGAATGGGTAAAGAAGATTTTGTAGAAAACGTTAATGCATTTTTTTTAGACGATGGCACTTGAAAATATTAGCCGATCGATAATGAGTGGAAGAAAATCAAGTATTTAGGTATGTAAAGAAAATAATGTGAAAAACAAGACTGGTGTGCGGTAGCGGTAGGGTCCATAGTATGATAATCACGTCGCACGCATTATTGTTTTACTCCAGCACAGAAAAACAAGGCGCAGGGTGATAGTTATGCAATATATCATGCTTGCCTTAACACTTTTATCATAATCTAAACGAAGGAATTAAACATCAATTCTTGCATCAGTATTATTTCATTGATAATAAACTTGTGTCACCAAACAATGGTCCTGATATTTTGTTACTTCATTGGAATACATTAGCACAAATATGCTTATCGTTATTAATATAATAATAATAATAAATAAACAAAATTATGAATTTGCTCGTGTTGATGTGTCATTAGCTTTCCGGAAAGAGATATTAGCCTTTGACAAGAAAGTAAGTGGGAGGAAGAGTGGGAGAGTGTAATATAGACAAAGGGGAGAGAGGAAGATAGAGAGAGATGGCTAGAGAGAGAGAGAGA